AACACACAAACAAATGCATTGTGTCCAGCCGAATTGCGAGCGCCCGCGGGGCGGCGGGCGAGCCTGGGGCGACGAGCGCAGCCGACGGACAAGCGAAAACAAACAAAAACAAACAAAACCAATGAGTTGGGCCAGCCGAGGGGCCGAGCGACCGCGGGGCGGCGGGCGAGCCTGGGGCGACCAGTGCAGCCGACGGAGCCGAGGGGCCGAGCGACCGCGGGGCGGCGGGCGAGCCTGGGGCGACCAGTGCAGCCGACGGACAAGCGAAAACAAACAAGAACAAACAAAACCAATGAATTGGGCCAGCCGAGGGGCCGAGCGACCGCGGGGCGGCGGGCGAGCCTGGGGCGACCAGCGCAGCCGACGGACAAGCGAAAACAAACAAGAACAAAAAAACCAATGAATTGGGCCAGCCGAGGGAGCGAGCGACCGCGGGGCGGCGGGCGAGCTGGGGACCAGTGCAGCGACGGACAGCGAAACAAACCAGACAAACAAAACCAATGAATTGGCCAGCCGAGGGGCCAGCTCCCGCGGGGCGGCGGGCGAGCCTGGGGCTCCATGCGCCGCGGAAACAAGCTAAAAAAACAAAAACAAAAACACCAATGAATTGGGCCAGCCGAGGGGCCGAGCGACCGCGGGGCGGCGGGCGAGCCTGGGGCGACCATGCAGCCGACGACAAGCGGAAACAACAAGAACACACACCAATGAATTGGGCCAGCCGAGGGGCCGAGCGCCCGCGGGGCGGCGGGCGAGCCTGGGGCGACCAGCGCAGCCGACGGACAAGCGAAAACAAACAAAAACAAACAAAACTGCGGAGTAGGGCCAGCCGAGGGGCCGAGCGACCGCGGGGCGGCGGGCGAGCCTGAAGCGACCAGTGCAGCCGACGGACAAGGGAAAACAAACAAAAACAAACAAAACCGAGGACTGGGGCAAGCCGAGGGGCCGAGCGACCGCGGGGCGGCGGGCGAGCCTGAGGTGACCAATGCAATCGACGGACAAGCGAAAACAAACAAAAACAAACAAAACCAAGGAACGGAGCCAGCTGCGGGGCCGAGCGACCGCGGGGCGGCGGGCGAGCCTGGGGCAACCAGTGCAGCCGAGGGACAAGCGACAACAACCAAAAACAAACTAAACGAGCGAATGGGGCCAGCCGAAGGGCCGAGCGACCGCGGGGCGGCGGGCGAGCCTGGGGCGACCAGCGAAGCCGACGGGCAAGCGAAAACAAACAAAAACAAACAAAACCAATGAATTGGGCCAGCCGAAAGGCCGAGCGACCGCGGGGCGGCGGGCGAGCCTGGGGCGACCAGTGCAGCCGACGGACAAGCGAAAACAAACAAAAACAAACAAAACCAATGAATTGGGCCAGCCGAGGGGCCGAGCGACCGCGGGGCGGCGAACGAGCCTGGGGCGACCAGTGCAGCCGACGGCCATGCGAAAACAAACACAAAACAACAAAACCAAGAGATGGGGCCAGCCGAGGGGCCGAGCGACCAGCGTCACCCAGGGAAGTGACAACCAAACCCTAGAAGTAGATTAGGTTTGCGCCCGCCACAAAAAAAAACAAAAAGTAATGATTCTTGAAATAGGAAGGCGCTTAAAGTAGATTGGGTTCTGGGAATCCAAAAATACCTACTTTCAACGACCGGTGGGTATGGAAATTCTTGGAGGGGAACCTGAGCCACGGATGCCGAAGGACTGCTCCTGCTGCTCGACGCGCAGAGGCATGCTGCACGCCGCCCCCACCTTTGCTGGGGTACGGGTACGACTCGCTTGACGCAACGTTTGGGAAATATGTGCTTCTGTACTAGAGCTGTGATGCCGCAAGAAGTAGTCACTAAAGCCCCCCCCCGTTTGTATCCGAACCGGAAGCACCGAAATGAATCCACTATGTGCTCTGGTTCCAATAGTTCTCCATGTGAAAAGTTGCTGGATGCCGCGCAACATCAGAAATGTCACGCGACGGGTGCTCGCCGAGGATGCCTGCTAGTCTGGCGACGCGGGAGGCGGCGCAAGGATTGAAACCACCACTTCACATGAGGGATCCTGCTGGGGAGCTCATGATCGCACCCTCGGGCATGCCGCCGCCATGGCGGCCTCGGGGCGAAGGGGCCCTTGAGTAAATTGGATCCTTCGCTCGGGAGGTTGCCTTTTTTTTTCTCCCTCTCTCTCTCTCTCTCTTTCGCAATCGCTCGGGCCACCTGAAGGAAGAGGAAGAGGAGGAGGAAGGTGCCCTCCTCCTCCTCCTCCTCCTCCTCCTCCTCCTCCTCCTCCTCCTCCTCCTCCTCCTCCCCCTCCACCCCGAGGAGGAGGGCGACGAGGACGCAAAACGAGCGGGGCGGCGCCCCCTCCCGCGGCCGCCACCCGCGGGGCGGGCGCCCCGCCTGGAGCGGCGCGCCCGCGGCGGGCGCCCCCGCGCCGCGGCCCGAGGCCGCCCGCGCGCCGCCGCCCCTGCCAGGGGCCTGCGCGGTCCTGCGGGGCGCGCGGAAGGCCGAGCGAAGGGCGAGCGCCCGAGTGATTGCGAGGCGGGGGTGTATACATTTCCTCTTCCTCCTCCTCCTCCTCCTCCTCCTCCTCCTCCTCCTCCTCTTTCTCCTCCTCCGTGGAACCGACGTCCTGGGACCCCAGCGAACGGCGGGGATGTATCCATAATCCAAAAGATGGGCCCATCTCTCACAGATGGGCTTGTTGGGGAGCCTTTCTTTTACAATCGCAATTCGCCCTTCTTTCACAGAAAGGCCAAATTGTCACCTCATTTCGGCTTTCGGATTATCCACCGCCCGTGGAACCGACGTCCTGGAAATCCAGCGGACCGAGGACATGGATATACTTGGGCCCCAGGGGCCCCGTGTATATATTCATATCCACCGCCTGTCGAGGTCTCCGAGAATCGGTCCTCCGGACGGTGGTCATGTATAAGTCCCTGCCTCGGAGTTGTGGGAGGCAGCTCCTGTACAGTCGGGCTGCTGAAAAAGGAACGACACATAAGCGACGAAAAGAAGCGGGCCTTGCGCGAGATGGCGCAGCGACCTTGCGCGGCGGCTTACGCGGGCCACTGGCGCGGCACGCTGCATTGCCGACGAGGGCGCTTATGAGCGAATTTACGCGAGCAACTTACGCGCCAGCAGCGCAGGCAAGCCCGTTTCGTTGCGACTTTCAAGTAAAGAACGAAACCCCTTTTGTGCCCCCAGAAGCGCCTGCGTGCACGAGGAGGGCGATGAACAGCCATGGAAGGACTTGAGGAACATCGAGCCCCTTCCGAACCCAAGCTGTTCTTGTTTCAGCATCCTGACTTTTGGGGCTAAGAAGGCCTCTTCCGATGATCCCCAGGAGGTGTGTCATTGCCGTCTCGTGCGCGCCCACCGAAACCCTTCAATACGACGCGGGGGGTGCAATGAAGGCCAGCACATGATGGGTGCTATCGGTGGAGCTGAGCGGGATAAACACACGTTGGGCTGACACATGTCTGGATTACCATCGACTCTTACATGGCGGGCGGCGTTCTCAAGAACGATGAAAGGATGCAAAGCCCGATTAGGCGGCCATCTAGCCGGATCAGACCACGCCCGGGATTTCCAGGAAGGCTTCTCAGAGGAGCTCGGAAGGCTTTCTGACTCCGCGCGGATCGCTACGGCTTGAACGATCGCGGCTTCCCAACAGCCAATGGCGCGGACCGTTCGATGATGGCTGGCTCCAGGCAGCTGGTGGATATCAGCCCTTGACGCCCTTGCTGGCGTCGCCGCCGCGTCAACCTGCCGTTTCGGCATCAGTGGAGGCTCATCGGGGGGCCTGCCGAAGCCAGCCGAGGCTATTCCCGGGGGGGGTGGACTGTCGCTTGCACGCAGCCTGGAGCTTCACCGCTGGGAGGAGGAGGAGGAGGAGGAGGAGGAGGAGGAGGAGGAGGATGAGGAGGAGGAGGACACTGACTCATCACCAGACGAGCGCGTTCCACCAGTCGCAAAACAGCTGCTCGCACATGGCCTCGATGCGCCGCGGAGGATCCACGGGACACGTCGTCGAGGCGACCGTCCGCTCTTCGGACGCTCGCGAGCAGGCACTTTGCCAGCAGTGCAACGCGCTCGGTGAACCACCGAGGTCCTGGGCGGGGGCGGAGGCGGAGGGCCCTTGCCGGAGCCTTTGGCCGCCCGCGTGGTCGGGCGCGGCGGAGGGTGCCCGGCGGGGGCGTCTCCGGCGGCCATGCTGCTGCAGGCGGTGGCGGCGCGCGCCGTCGCCCTCTGCGGTCGGCCGGGGCCCTCGAGAGGAGGTGCTGCTCGAGCTGGGATGGCCTGCAGGTGCGAGCTGCCGTCGCTCGGGCGTCTGCTCCCCGTGCACTCCTCGGCTTCGCGCGGGTGGCTTTGCTCGACGATCCAGGGTGCTCCTGGGTGGTTCTCGCCGAGGAGGAATACACACGTCCGAGCGATGCCAAGGCAACTGGACGCAGCTCAGGTCAGGTAGAGTCTTGCACCAAGCGGTGCGTGAGCAGAGGTACAGCGGAGGGCACTCGATTGCCTTCAGCACCCTCTCCGGCTTCGGACATTCGGCCAGCTCCCACTCGCGTGCTGCACCGCCATCTGGGCGGAAGTAGTCAGCGAGACGCATGTGCGAGACGGCAACTTCCATGCAAATGGCCACTGGGGCTCCAAAATCGAGGCTCGATGGGACTGCAAGGTTTGCAGGTCGTTGCAGAGGCCTGCACGGTTTTGCAGGGGCCCCAGGGGCCTCTGGAGGTCTCTGGGCACCTCCGAGGACCTCTGGAGACCTCTGGGGCGGCATGGTCGCTCGCACCTGTCATGCGGATAGGCAAACGCAATAAGTAACGTCATGCATGCAGTCATCCATTGTGCATGGTCAAGCTTTCAGCGTAATTGACCGCATTAGTGAGCATGGCCTGATCAGCCCGGTGTTACTGCACGAATGTGCGTGATTGGACGGATGAGTACCACTCTCCAGAGTGCTGGAGCCATATGGCATGGCCTATCCTGAACTTGATTGATGGGTGCGTGTCTCCATCCAACTGGTAATCAACCCTTACAAAAAAAGGCTTGAATGGACGGGTCGATCGATCAAAATGCGTGGATGGGCGCATCCGTCCAACAGCTTTACTCGTGGACCCATCTGGCCACCAATCAATTCACCCAAGGGATGCTAAATGTCACGTGTAAGAAACAACCACTGCATCAACCCCTGACACGCCTGGATTAGCAATGCGTCTAACCAAGGCGTGAGGGAAGTCGAATCCGAGTGGACCTGCTCGGCGAGTCAAGGGATAACCAACCGTATCAATTATCATACCTCATGGTGTGACCTCGTACTGCATTATTCCTCCTGTCCGTCTGACCGCTTGGCGCCCCCCCCCCCCCCCGACGCCTTCCCTGGAGGGTGTCCTGGAAGAGTCCTGGAGGCGTCCTGGAAGGGTGTCCTGGAGATGTCGGCTACTCGCAAGAGTGACCCTGGGCAAGACTGACCTGTGGTGCGCGGACTAAAGGGGCGCAGGGCAACCAAATCCAAGCGAGCAGGCAGCCGCTAAACCATCGCGCTCAACGATCGGGCGGACCCCGATGAGCCCGCAGAAAAGGTCACTCTGGCGAAGGGTCACTCCAACGCGTAATCGAAGATGTCCTGGCTGACGTCCTGGAGGAGGTGTCCTGGAGGGCGCCTTGGAAGTGTCCGGCGCCCCCCCGGAGGGCTGTTCCGACCGTGCGTCTGACCGTGCGGCCCCTCCACCCCTCCCGGGCCGTGGGCCTCCTGGGAAGGGATCCTTGCAGAAGGATGTTGAGCTCTGGAGGCCGACACGCTTCAGCTCAGAGGCCCTGGGTTCGGGCGAGAATGATGCCATGATGCGATTGGCGCAGGATACTTTCCAGACATTCTGAAGTTTCTTGATTGCTTCAATTTTTTCCCAAGTATTATGGGATAATCAGCGGACCTCATTTTTGGAGCCATCGCGAAACCAGAGAAGATCTTGGACATCCCGAGAATCTGGGAAATCTTGAAACGTATCATTACCATGACTCCTCGCTCCTCGGTTGGGTGCGCACACGAGTCCCTGTGCGGGCAAGAGGACTCTCCGACGGACGATTGCCCCGACCCCACTCACCAGACACACTGCGATTCCTAGAGGTCACCTGGAACACCGTCATGTTTGAACAACCGAGCAACCAGGAGTCAAACACTGTGATAGCTTTCTGGACACAACAGTCGAGGGTACCAATCGCGTTATCAATAACAATCGGTGCCGGGGCCTCAGAGCAAGCAACACACATGCGGTCGATGATAGATATGTACAATGGCAACGCAACTTCGAAAGCTACGTCGGGACATCGCACGAGGGCCTTGCTTGAACAGGTCGTGCCATATTCTCGGCAGATGAGCTGGCGGCTCATCCTTGGACAAAGCTCAATCAAAAGCAATAGTACGACAAGCGCACCCACTAAATTGCACACACATGTGATTCCACATGGCATGGGGAAACATGACTTCATGCTAGGTGCGCGGCGGTCACATTCGTGATTCAACTCGCAGCTGCATCATCGCGCTGATGACGCAGGTCATGCTAACACTTATGACACCAATACTTGGACTACGTTGTGCATGCTCGCGATTTCAATTCGCGTGCGCATGGAAAGAAGGATCCGCATACCGAACTCAAAGCACACCGTTGTCAAATAGCCGATTTGGCATCCTGACTCAAACGCGGAGGCCGAAGGAAACTACAGCTGGCAGGACTTTACACACTTTGTTACCAGCAGGTCTTAGCCGAGATAACATCGAATGAACACATGGCAGCTGGCACTGCAACATGTCGATCCACACGAGCTGTTTGACTTCAGGCGCGTACATGCCAACGAACTCGCGCCCGTCAGGCATGTTTTCGCACCCGAACAAGTTCAGCTATCGACAGCTGGCGGAGAGCTGCGTCGATCGTGGCGTGGACTGGGGGGTTGAAGAAACATAGTTGACGATTCGTCGGCTGGATGGGATAGTTACTCATCGGATTCGTCTCAGCCTTTGGAGGGCCATGCGTGCCAATGCAGCTGGACCGCAGCCCTAATAACACGCCAGAGGCGTCTGCGTCGCGAATGGACACCTGTCATCCCAAACAAAGCGAATCATGCAACGCGAGATGGTATAGTGCACTTGAAGCCATGGAGACAAGCATGCAACATCCATCCTGATCGGTCACGCCGTCAGGAAGCAGTCCAGCCGCGCGTGACGAAGATGATGGTCCCGCCGTTGCGTATCTCTCCTGCGGGCATGAAACACACGCGTGATGATTGCCGACGGCCGACAACCTGACACGACACTCAAGGACAACAATTTTCGCAGTCTGCCCGGCCCACGCATCTCAGTCACAGTGCAGTCGTAGCTATTGCCTGGAGCGCAAGCAAGCACAACCCAAACAAGTCCACTCACAAAGTCGCTGAAGTACCGCAAAGCTATCGAAGCGAGCGATCGCCTTACCAATGGCCTGGCCAGGAGGCAACGACCTCTAGAGGAGGCCAACACATACTTGGTTCTGGAAGCCACGAACCCCAAATCTGCTACCATCTCTTGGGGGCGAATCTTTTACTTCCGCTGGCTTCCGCCGGCCTCCTGCCAGCTTCCGCCAGCGGAAGCGCCCCTGTTTTACTTCCGCCGCCTCCCGCCAGCCTTCTGCCGAGGAAGAGATGGCAGCTCCTTCGACCCTCTAGGGCAAGGACCTTTCTAGAGAGCGCCACATGGCCGGGACATGACTGCAATGTCTGCAGCGTGGCAGGGCGAGGGGGCAGCACAGGCGGCAGGTGGGTGTTGGTATGGGCAGCGAGGGGGACTATTGAAGCAGACGCTCGGGGGGCGCAAGGAGGCACGTTCCCTGACACGCCCCTTGACACGCCCCCGGATGCGGCTCCGCACTTCCCCTGACGTGCCCTGTTGCGTCCCCTGACATGTCACCGGCACGCTCCCAGGCACGCCCCTGGGACGAAACGCGCCGTCCTCGAGCGAGTACGGCGGACAAGGTTGCACTTGGAACGGCCCTGGGACACACCAGTGTCTGGACCTGGGTCGCACAATCCTCGAGCCCACGCGTACGAAGTGCAGCGGGCACGCACTGGATACACCTGGGATGGTGCCAGGACGCATCATTGCATGGACCCAGCGGGCAGGCTCCAAGTGCCGGGAGCAGATCTGGGCCTCATCCGATAAGACAAGGGCTGATGACCCCCACACGTGGAAATCTGCTGTCACTTCAACAAGGGCTTGAACATACATGGCATTGTATCACACAAGGTCGTGGACTTGGAAGAACGGTCTCGCGCGTGCTGGAACGCATGCGGGTGTAAAAAAGCATGTCCGAGAACCTGTCACAATGCACCTATGCGCGGATGATTTGGCAACATGGTCGCACTGTGTCGCGCGCGCACCGAACTGGCCGGAGGGGATACGGTCAGAACTTTGCAAAGCGTGTCGCGGCGGCGGCCCCAGCGACACGCTATGCTCTGCAAGTGGATAGCGTTGCGCTCCGCTCCGCGGGGCGGGAGGCTTCGGAAAAGCAAGGGACATAAACCTTCGAGGACCTGGACGTGGTTAATTAGTGTGTCGCGCCGCAGCGTGGTGGGCCAGAACCAGCGAAGTGGCACGCAAAGCCGAAGTTCCCAATCGTAGACCCCTGTTAGAAGCCGATGGAAACCGCCATGAGGGAATAGCTTGCCATATGCTAAAACCAATCCTCGCCCTGGATCCCCAAAACAACGTTTTCTTAGTCGGCATGTCGACATTGGGCGGAAGGGGGGGAGGCGGGGGGTCTGGCTCTGGACCTCTGCTTAACGCGACTGTTTGCAACCCTGCGTCCTGTGGGGGAGACTCCACCTGTTTGAAACGGGCGCCACAAACGGCCAAGATCTACTCCAAAGCGGGGGTGCGAGGGCCCGCGCCGATCGGCAAACCAACGAGTACGAAAACAACCGAGTTGGCACAAGCGCATGCAGAACCCAAACACGCTCGCGCCCTGCAGTCCTCGAAGCCAACTTCTCCCTGCCCGGACATCGCTGCGGCCGGGGCGCGGCGCGCACTTGCGAGCCGCCCGCCAGGTTGGCACGCAACCGTGGTGGCATCGATAAGCGGCTGCGGCAGACAACTGTTCAGGGGCATCCGGCCGACCCGATCATCAGCAACAGGAGTCAAGCCTCACGTGCAGCATGCCTTCTGCGAGCCCTGGTGGCCTACACAGACACTTTTGTACGCCGGCTGCGAGGCATAACTGCACCAGCGGGCGGCGGTCCGGGGCATCCGATACGCGAATTGGCTGGCGTGCGAGAGGGAGAACAAGGCAGGAAAGGCGACCGCGAAGGACAGGAGGAGGGGCACCCAAACGCTGAAGAATTTTATGCCGAGTGCGCCAGTGCGGCCCGCAGCGGCAGCGGGGCCGTGGCAGCAGCCGGGCCGCGGCGTCGATGCACCCACGGGCGCTGCCGGTGCGCAGTACTGGGTACTGCGAATCGTAAGCAGTGCTGCCCGCCAGCCGTTGCCCACAACGCGATCGATCGACTATGCTCCGCAACAGAAGTCAAGCCGCACGTGCAGTCTGCCTTCTGCGAGCCCTGTGCCTACACAGACACACGCCGCTGCCCACAACTAGAAGAAGACAAAACTGCATAATCATAGACTTTTGACGGTCCGCGCGGATTTCTTGGATCTGCGCCGGACCCCCTCCCTGGCGCGCGGAGCGCGCCAGGGGCGGCGCCGGAGGCGCCGCCAGGGGGGGCCCAGCGCAGATCCAAGAAAACCGCGCGGAGCGTCGGAAGCTTATGTTTGTAGCGAGTGTGCTTTCCTTCTTCGAACAACGCTATCATCTCAATCGACTGCAGTCCGCCCGAGGAGCGATCAGTGCTTTGTTGCGCAGATGAGAAGGCGCGGTGATGCGGCCGCCCAGCGGCCACCCTCGCCTGGCCAGAGGAATGCGCTCGCGGAGAGGGGGGCAGCGAGCGAGGAGGGAAGAAGTCGGCGGCGCGCCGAGGGGGAAAGCGAAGAGGGGCAGGCTTTCTCGGACGGCGGCGGGGCTTCTCGGGAGCCCTCAGGTCGTCTGGAAGTTCTGCGGCTGTGGGGAAGGCTTGGAGAGCTTTCCTCCGAAGGCCAGGGGCCTCTCTGCGCCTGCCGAGAAGGCTCTTCTGCTGAGGAGGATGGCGTCATTGTCTGACTTGTGTGTGGTGCCCTCTCTGGCAGCCTGCTGGGCCCACGGAGGCATGCGGAGGCTTCTGCACAGGCCTCCCGGGGATCCCAGGACGACTCCAGGGACCCCTTCTGGAGTCTGATGAGCTCCGGAGATCTCGGGTGGCCTGTGGAGGAGGGGGGAGACGGAGGAGGCGGAGGAGGCGGAGAAGGATCCTATACTTCCCAGGAGGAGATCTCTGAAGGCCTCTCGGGACCCTCTGGAGACTGGAGAGTTTGGGGGACCTCCAGTGGCCTCTTGAAGAGGGGGGAGGCGAAGGAAACGTCATGCAGCTCTCGCGCATGGTCCGTCTCCCCAGGCCCCTCAATCTCAATGGTCACGCGGAGGCGCCACAAGATGCATGTTTGTTGCCGCTGGTCGCAGCTGTCTCAATATCGACATCGGGGGGCCCAAGGGAAGGGGAGGCGAAAACTATCAGACAAGTTACATGGTTTCTTTTCCAGGGGGTGTAGCGCCAAGCTCAGGGGAGGAAATATCGACCTCGAATCGGCGATAGGCCCCCGAAAGGGAATCCGCACGCTCCTAGTCGGGGTGGAGGAGTCGGGCCCCAATCGGCGATGAATGGGTGGGGGTCGATGCGTCCCCCTTTGAACCTATGCCCGCCTGATCATCCTTCCCCGTGACGGGCGCGCATGCCGCAGCGTACAAAAGGTGCGTGTGTGTGTGTGTGTGTGTGTGTGTGTGTGTGTGTGTATGTGTGACCCGATCTGTCTTTTGCGCCTCACCCTCTTTGGGCTGTTCGCCAGTTGCATGCCGTCGCGCACGCCACCTAATTCTTGCATCCGCGGCACCTGCGGCGCTGCTCACAAATCAAAAACGCTTGGAGGTAATGCCCATCAGCAGACCCCGCTAGTCTGTTCTGGTGGGCAAGCTGGCCGGGAATCAGTAAAAACTGTGTGTGTGTGCGTGTTTGTGACAGGGCGGCGGAACCTATACATATCCACTGCTCCGGGTTCAGGATGGGCGTGGCCTGGGAACAATGCGACTTCGTCGCCTGGTGTGTGTGTGTGTGCGTGCGTGCGTGCGTGCGTGTGTGTGACCTTGTGTGCCACCGCGCGGGCGCCCCCTCCCGCGTCGTCCGCCCGCACTGCGGGCCTCTCCCTTCCCTCTCCCCTCCTCCCCTCCCCGCGGCGCAAGCACATGCACACATCAACGTCTAGGATGAATCACGCAGCCATGCGAGCTGGCGCGTGAGAATTCGAGCAGAGGAATCAACCACGGACCCCTCGAAAGAATCCCGTCGCGTAACCCTCTAGCTTGCGTAGCGCGCACGCGCAAGGCTCGGAGCACAACTGGTGGGCAAGGCGTCTCGGCACAAGGATGATAATGATGATGATGATGATAATAATGATGATGATGATGATGACGATGATGATGTTGATGCTGATGATGGTGATGATGATCATGATGATGATGGTGATGATGATGTGGAGGGTGGCAATGCTAATGATGATATCGATGATACTGGTGATGATGCTGATGGTGATGATGTTAAGGGTGGTGATGGCGATGATGGTGATGCTGATGGTGATGATGATGATGGTGATGGTGATGTTGGTGATGATGGTAATGGTGAGGATAATGGTGATGCTGTTGTTGTCGCCGATGATAATTGTCAAGATGACGATGATGATGACAATGCAACTGACGATACTGATGATGATGATGCTGCTAATCGTGATGCTGATCATGATCATGATGACGATGGTGATGGTGATGATGATGAGGAGGAGGATAAGGATGAGGACAAGGACAAGGGCAAGGAGGAAGGGGATGTTTTATCCACGGCATCGATGGCACTGACTGGTGACTGTTAATTCAATTGCTCCAGCTCATCAGTCGGTGGCACGGCAGTGAAATTTTGTGCGGACGCACCTCGGTCTTGCTAATAGCAGCACAGGCTATGAGCGCAACATTGCCGAACCACCTCCACGGGTGGGTGCCAGGGGACAGCAAGCAAGGCAAGGCAGGGGAAAGGGGAGGCGAACGAGCAAGCCGCTAATTCTGGCCTCTGCGCTGGCGGCCGACAGTCCAAGGACGGGGCCCTGCGCAAAGAGAGCGATCGACGGGCGGACACACATTCGAAGCTGTTGTCCAAACGACCTGGCGTGCGGGCTCCCAGTGCAGCCACGGCCTACTCGCATCAACTGTGTGGCATAGAGTTGCCAACCGCTAGACACTGGCCGGCACGACCCGACAACGCGTTGAGTAGAGACAGAATAGGGCAAGCGCCTCTCAGCACGAGAATGGCGGGGCAGACCCGGATTCCAACTGTCCGTGTATCAAGGCAGCGGCATCCAGAGAGAGAGACAGAGAGCGCCAGGCGGCGGGGGGACCAGGAAGCGGCATCCTCCGCAAGAGAACCCCGCAGAATGGCACCTACACCAGCCAAGAAGAGTCCCAAACAGCCGAGGACAAGCGAGAGCAGGCAGAGTAGGGACGACAACGGGGCAAGGAGCAAGCAGAGGGACAGCAAAACAGTTTAGGGATACGGCCAACAGAAGGGCCAGGCTGGAGCCCACTCGACGGACCGAGCAGGTCAGAGAACAAACATGAGAGCCCGCAAGCCGCAGAAGGCAAAAGGACGTTCGAAGCGTCGCCAAAACGACCTCGCGCACGAGCTTGGGCAGCACAACAGGCTTGGGCAGAGCAGCGAACCGCAGCCAGGCAGAGGCACCACCCGACCATCCAACGGCGCAGCGGAGCAGCAGGCAGGAGGGACACGCAAGAGAGGGGCGCGCAGCAGCGGCAACTGCGAGGACGGCGACCGCAGCAGGGGAGCAGAACAGGGGACACAAGAGACCGTCGTCGTCGCCGTCGCCGTCGTCGTCGTCGTCGTCGTCGTTCTCCTCCTCAGCCTCCTCCTCCTCGTCATCCACGTCCTCGTCCTCCTCCTCGAGGGCGATAGCAAAAAACGCGCGCCCAGCAGGAGAAGCCCCAGGGGCGCCACAGGCCGCCATGACTGGGCACGGGTCAGACTTCAGGCGCAGCCGCGCGGCCGAAACCGACACGAAATCGAGATCCGATCAAGTGCAAGCACGGCCAGGGCCACTGAGCCCTGGAAACCGAAGCCTCGGACAACTCCAAGGAGCCGAACAGGGAAGAGCAAGACAAACAGAGGCTGATCCCAAAACCAGAAAGTACTGCGCGAGGAGCCTGGGCATGGTGTGACAGGCAGCGGGCGGGGAGCAGAGAGGAAGTCACATCGGGGCACGATAAAAAAACAACCTTCACGAGAGAGCGCCCGCGCTCCAGAACTAATTTTTCAAACAACCTGCGCATACATGTCCAATGATCAGGGAGCTTGCCATCATAGCCGTCGGAAGCTGCGAGGGAAGCAAGATAAGAACGCGTAGCGCGGACAGCCCACGATCGATCATCTGCACAGAGCCAACGAGATACAGCGCATCACCGTGAGAAACCACATGAAGAAGTTTCGGGGTCCACCAAAGGGGGGGGGGGGCCCTGAGGGGGGGGGGAGTTCGATCCGCTGGTGCATCGAATTTCCACAAAACGATGCCCCCCGCGCTCGTTTTGCATAGTTGTTCTGCGGTTCGATGCGCCAACGGACCCAACTCCCCCACCCCCCTGTGGCACCCCCTCGCTTTGCGAGGTCCCGAAGGTTGCACGACGAGCGACACCAACTACTGAAACGCCGCATGTGCTACATTATGGCCACCATCGGGCCCTGTCAAGCACGATGATGGACCTGAGCTAGCACGGCTCCGTGAATTCCCAAAGCCTGCAGCCATTCACAAGAGAACGCAGTGAACGCAAACCCGTCCCTGGAAGTATGATCCTGTGAAAGAATTGACTCGCGACTCATGGATGACAACAAAGCAGAAGCCACCGATAAGGATGCGGGAGGCGGTGGCGGCAAGAATAAGAGCTCCTGAGGACGGGAGAGACGATGACGGACTCA